GTGTGTGTGTGTGTGTGTGTGTGTGTGTGTGTGTGTTGCTTTTGTTTTTGCTTTGTTTCAAGAACACTGACTGCTTGATTTTATCCAATATTTTCATAGTTCAGCAGTGACTGCTTATTGGGGAAAGAAAATACAAGATCTATAGTCTCTAAAGTCTGGGTGCTGGCTCTCTTTCTCCAACACCTTAGTTTATTTCTTGAGAGTTTACAGATTATTGAAGAGGATAGCATTTAACTGATAAAGACTAGAAACTTTGGAAAGATTGCATCTTGCTTGGGACTTTGGGGAAGTTGACATATCCAAAAGGAATGCATCGTGACTGCCCAACAAATAGTGTTTTGCAAAATGTCTTCTGGATTTTTATGGTAAAACCTTTTGGTGCTATTTGAAAAACAAGAATATTTGTAAATAAATTTTGGTACACATGAACTACTTGAGTCCCTACTATTTTTATTAATCAAATCAGTGAGTTTTGGAAGCTGTATTAAACTTTTTAAAGGGCCTTAATTTCTAAATATCATCAAAACAGCAAAAACACATATTGCTTCTGTGTGCACTCTGGTGTTTCCTCAACAACCCTAGTGAAGATGGAACATGGTTAAGGTGGTCTGAATAATTCCTTCACTCATTTGAAATGCAGGGTTTAGATTAGTGAGCCATGGGAAGTATATTACCCAACAGAGTTAAACAGCCACAATGTTTCATTGTATGCAATGATACCATGGCCTTTTGAGTGCTTCTCATCTAAGCCATTCTGTTTGTTCTTTTTCCTTTCACCTAGTCTGTATCTATCTTTTCCACCTCTACTGCTGTCTTCAGAGCCACCTCATCGTTAACTGTAATAGCTTCCTTACTGGTCCCACATTTCCTGCCTCACTCCTTTCCAATCCTGCTCCCATTGTGCAATCAGAGTGGCCAGATAAACTGTCAACTAGATCATGTCAACCTCCTGCCTAAAAACTTTCCAACTGATTCCCTTTGTTCTCTTAAAAATTAATTTTCGGGGTGCCTGGGTAGCTCAGTTGGTTGAACGTCTGACTTCGGCTCAGGTCATGATTTCACAGTTCATGGGTTCGGGCCCCGTGTCAGGCTCTGTGCTGACAGCTCAGAGCCTGGAGCCTGCTTCGAATTCTGTGTTTCCCTCTCTCTCTCTGCTTGTCCCCTACTCACACTCTGTCTCTCTCTCAAAAATAAAGATTAAAAAAATTTTTTTAATTAATTTTCACTTTATCAAAGTAATAAGGCATAAATATAAAATTGCTGTCTCATCTTTTCTTCCTTTTGTTCATCTCATTATCTATTCTTTCTTTACAAGAGATTTCCTTGATTTTTTTCTTCTTTTCTTAAAGTTTTCCAGTTCTTGTTTTATGGATGCAACATATTCTATTACCTTTCTGAGAACACTCAAGATAAATTTCTTTTAATTTTTTTCTGCCTCTCTTCTGCCCCCAATTCCTCATATTTTCTCTTCACTTTGTTGGCTTTGGTCCTCTATTTCATGTTGGGGGTTTCCCCACAAATGTCTGTCCCTGACCATAAGTGTCAGGCACTAACATTTGAGTGGAAGCTCTGTGCGAGTGTAGTCAGGACTCCAGGTGGTGATGGGCTGGAAGGGTCCCCTGATGTCACAATCAGTTGCCCTTTTTTCTGGGAAGTTCAATTTTTTTGAGAGATGACTCCTCCAATCTTTTGCAGTGTATACCTGTGTGAACACATTCAGAGTAAGAAAAAGGAAAGGGGACTACATTCTTCTGATCCTCCAGCATACTTTAATCATAATAATAACAAATATTTACATAGTGGTTCCCACATAGCAGGTTCTAAGCACTTTATATATATATATATATATATATATATATCAACCCATTTAATCCTCACAATGAGGCACTAAACTGAGACCCAAAGAGAAGACTTTCTCAGGATAGCTTGTGGCAGAACAAGGATTTGAACCAGGACATCTAACTCAAGAGACCATACTCTTGACACCCATATTGTCCTTCCTTTTTCTGTGAGCACCTGGTCTCAGTCCAGAGCCTCACCACACCCCTCTGCTCTGCCTGGGCTCCTGTATCCAGAATCTCTCTGCTTCAATTTCTCCAGAGACTCAACTCTTGATTTCCTATAAGGGGCATGGGGCAGTCATCTGGCTTTGCTGAGTCAGAAGGGCCTGGAAACCTGACAGCACCATACACAGGTGAACCAATCCTGCTTCTAACTCTGCGCCTCATCTATATCTTCCAAGGTGTGCTGTGTTTCCATATCCCTTGCCTTTGGGGCATTTGAAAATTAAATCATTATGTTGGAGCCACATCATCAAGCCTATTGTGTTCATCTTTTCCCAATTCTGTATTCACTGACATGATGCTGATGGCTTAAAATTGGTCATAGGAGGGTTCTTTACATCATGGGAATTGGCAAATGCCACATATTGGGGTTTCTCTTTTTCAAAGAGCTGTTGTTAAACACTTAACAGTACATCACTGATTATAGCCCACCACAGACACGTAGCATTCAGCCTTCTGTTTTCTCCTGGCTGAGTTAACACACTAAGCCCTCTTTTCATATTCTAAAATTTATAGACCTCACACATCTGTTTTTATTTCCTTTCCTGTGTGTGTATGGGGGGGGGGGTATGTGGGTGTGCATGTGCACACACATGCATGTGCTCTTGTGGAATTTATGTTTTAAATTACTTTGGAGTTTGGAAAAGGATGGATAAACATAGGTCATATCTACGATTTCATTCTAAAGTGTCCCCCTGCACTAATAAATTCCTTACCAGAATCTGACCACCTCTGTGCCTTATCTCTCATTCTGCTCCTCCTTTTGCTTCCTGGAATACACCAAGTTTGTCCTCATTTCCTGTGCCTGCAGATTGAGTTCCCTCAGCTTGTCCCAGATCTCTGCAGTCTCCACACATTTTTCAACTCACATGTTTTCTTCTCAGGGAGGCCTTCTTGTTACTTTACTTTCTTGACAGCTGTCTCTCTCCTCAGTAAAATGAAAGCCAGGACTTTGCCTCATTCAGTGCAGTACCCCAAGCACCTAAATCAGCCCCTGGCACATAGTGGACTTCCAGTAAACCTTTTCTGAATGAACATTAGGTGAATGAATGCATTTCTGACTTTAAAACATTTGTCTAATTCCTCAAGGCTTTCATCTTTCTGAGCTAAGAAAACCCATCACATTGGATCTATACTTTCAGCTTTACGAGGGTACAGTATGCAGTAAGACCCCTCTCCCTAGGGTTCAGGATCTTTACTTTCTTGTCCTTCTCCAATGACATGTTACTACTCATATATTGTTATTTTGTGTATCAGTGGGGAATGTCCTTCTTTTGTTGACACTGCCTTCCATTTCTACTGGCCACTAAGTCATTTGTTTCCTAAGATTTTGTTTGTTTGTTTACTTCACCATGAAGTAATGTATCAAAACATATGACTGTATCAAAACATAAAGCAAAGGAATGTCTTGGCAGGAAGCACAGGAGCGCATGTGTGCATATGCTGGTGGGTGCTACTATCCCCAGTGTCTCCATCCTTTGTTGCACATTAGTGTCTACTTTGATTCAAGATGTTGGAGAGAATTTTTTTTAATGTTTATTTATTTTTGAGAGAAAGAGAGAGTGTGTGAGAGGGGGAGCTGCAGAAAGACAGGGAGACACAGGAACAGAAGCAGGCTCCAGGCTCTGAGCTGTCAGCACAGAGCCCGATGCGGAGCTTGAACTCACAAACCATGAGATCATGACCTGAGCCAAAGACAGATGCTTAACCGACTGAGCCACCCAGGTGCCCCTGGGGTGGAATTTCTTAGGTAGAAATATTCTGATTGACCCTGTGTGAAGTCTTCAAATTCACACATTTATTGACCTCTTTCTATATATACATGGCTCTCTGTGGGGCAGTATGGGAAAATTGTAACTCATGAACCTTTTGCTTTCAAGGAACACAAATAGCTGAAATACTTGACAGTGAGTGAATGATACCATGAGAGTGACTAGAGGGAGGCTGGCACCTTTTCTTCCTATCTTGATATCCCATTTTATATCATTTATAGATAAATTAAGGGAAATAACTTGAAAACAAATTTTTGGAAACTGAATTTGTGGTCGTATCCTACCCCCCTGGCCAGATATGTTAAACTATATATCATAGTGATTAATAGAGCCTCTCTCAAAAATTGGATTCTCTAGAAATTTCCATGTTTCCTCCACTTTGCCTCCACGTTTAAAGGCAGCATTCTTGAAAAGACTCATCTCTTAATACCTTGTTTTTGCCTTCACTGGGAAACACATACTGAATGCTAAATGTCACTCTAACCTTTTTTTTTAAGGTTTTATTTATTTACCTTTGAGCCTATTCATTTCTTCTCTCTTTAAAGAATTTTTGACTTATTCCCACCACACATGATTAACTGTCATTGAACCCAGCTGATTTAAACTGAGGCCAGCATTAGCTAATGAATTGGTCAATGCCTTGCCTTTCCTCATCATAGACACATGGGGGCACCAGACTGATGGCAGAGGGAAAGTTTCCTTTCTACACTGATGTGAGATAAAATGTGTTTAGTCAGAACTTTTTTGTTAATCAAATCAATATAGTATCAATATCAAGGGTTAGTAACTTGTAAAGGCAAAATAAAACCCAGTGTAATGAATACCATGGGTATTCATTTTGTTTTTTTTAAAAGTCCTTTTCACTCTTAAATATTAAGAATTCTGGGGGGCAGGGGGCGGAGAACTCTTGATCTCAGGGTTGTAGGTTTGAGCCCCACGTTGGGTGTAAAATTGCTTAAAAATAAAGTCTTAAGAAAAAAGAGAATTCCATGTCGCTGGGAATATGATTAATAATGGGCCTTAGGGCAATTCACACTATTTTTAAATCAGAAAAGGAATTTTCTTGGAAAATGTGTTTTCAACTGATAAAAGAAGTGGGAGGACTTGTTTTATAAGTACCTGCAGTTCAAACCAATCATTAAAACCTTTTAAAAAGAGGGCACCTGGCTGGCTCAGTTGGTAGAGCATACAACTCTTGATCTTGGGATTGTGAATTCGAGTCCCATGTATGGTGTAGAGTTTACTGAAAATTAAAAAAAAATTTTTTTCTTTAATTAAAAAAATTATAACACCTGAAAGTAATATTACTCCAAATTTTAACTAATTGGAATTTAAATAAAAATGTAAAACAAAAAAGCATAAAAGGGGAAGGTAGGGGCACCTGGCTGGCTCTGTTGGTAGAGCCACTCTTGATCTGGGGTCGTGAGTTTGAGCCCCATGCTGGTGTGGAGATTGCTTAAAAATAAAAAAAAAAAATTAAAAAAAAACCTTAAAAAAAAAAGGTGAAAGTATTTCTGTGTGAGAAACAAAGTTTTCATCTTTTCATGGTTGTATTGTATTTCGTGTTTGGCATATTTGTGTTTAAAAGGTAAAACAACTGACTTTCTTATGCGTTTCAGAATGGACTGTCTCCATTGCACATGGCCACACAAGGGGATCACTTAAACTGCGTCCAGCTTCTCCTCCAGCATAACGTGCCCGTAGATGACGTCACCAATGACTACCTGACTGCCCTGCATGTGGCTGCCCACTGTGGCCATTACAAGGTCGCCAAGGTTCTCTTGGACAAGAAAGCTAACCCCAATGCCAAAGCCCTGGTGAGTAGCTCAGTCAACAGGTCCAGCCTGTGTTGTCTTGCTGACAGTGTGCTACCTCTGCATGTGAAGGGATTACTTTGACGAGATAAAAATGGACGGTCTAGTTAAATAAAATGTACTTCCTATCAACTTTTTCAAATATCTTTTAAAGAAACAACCTATTTCTGACATGAACAAGGCTGATAGGGCTAAATCATTCTCTTTATAGCCACACTGGTGAATCTTTTACAATAAACAAGACCCAAAGACCATGTAAGTATAAAAAAAAGACTGAGCTGGTCAAACCAATCTTACTGAAGGTAAAGTTATAATTATGTGAATTAAAATTTTTTCCTGAGATCTAAACATGAAGTAAAATGGTCAGAAAACTTTATCTTCAGCATCAGAGGTCTAGGAATTTGTGAGCTGAAATTTTGTGTTATGTTTACCACGTAAGTTAACACATTGCCTGTCATCTCCTTTTCCTAGTGATAAAAATGAAAATTTGGGTCTGATTTGTAGTCTTCACTCCTAAGATGATCTGTTATTTTAACGCTTAGCTGTGCTATAGTTTTATTTTCATAACAAGATGGTGTGTGTTGTCTTTGGAAAAATAAATAAACCCAATTTGGTAAGCTGTTTAAGTTTAGTTCAGAATAAGTACCCATGTTTAGGAAAAAATCAGTCACCAAATGTTAGGGGAAACATGTGAGTTTACTAGCAGTTTTGAGGTAAAGGCTATCATCTGATCAACTGATTTGGAAAGGGTCACTGCTCCGTTCCAACTGGTGCTATCTCCCTGTCTGAATGAATCCATGGCACCTCTGGTCCTCTGTGGGCTCAGGACCAGTGGGCAGGAAAGATGAGGACTGAAGAGCACTCTTGGCCCCAGGCAGCTCCACCGTCTTTGTCACTTGAAAAACTTTTACCACAACAGCATTTCAAGAGCTGTTGACCTGCCCGGTATATCAAACATATCTTTGCATTCTGAGAAGGGAGGAAAAGAAATTATTAATCATGACTCGTTTTTCCATACAAGAAAAAAAAAAGCCTTAAAACAGGGTGTGGACATTCACTCTCATTTTCCTCTGACTCTAAAGATTTCACAACATGTAGAGATTGTAGCCAGTCATCCTGGAATGGACTCTGGCCAGGTAAATGGTCTCACAATGGCTATGGAAGCACCTATAGTGACTTTGACCTAAGCTTTTATACTGGACCCTGATATTTTATGCTTCTCTATGGTGGCTGAAAAATGCCCCATGGTCTCAATTATCAGGCAGTACATATTGGTAGGTAATATGTTAAAAAGCAGATTCCTTTAGTAGATTAAATATTAAACCAAATGATCCGAATAATGTTGGGTTGTTTCACTTCCTGTTTCCTTGGACTAAGTACCTACTTGAAATTTAAAAATGGAAGGGATGAAAACATTCTAAACAATCTTTTTTTTTAAATTTTTCTAACATTTATTTATTTTTGAGAGACAGAGGGAGATAGAGCATGAGTGGGGGAGGGGCAGAGAGAGAGGGAGAAACAAAGTCTGAAGCAGGCTCCAGGCTCAGAGCTGTCAGCACAGAGCCTGAAGAGGGGTTCAAACTCATGAGCTGTGAGATCATGACCTGAGCCGAAGTCAGACGCTTAACCGACTGAGCCACCCAGATGCCCCTGGGATGAAAACATTCTAGAACAGGTCTTATAGTTGAAGTCTGAATAGTATTGGCAAAGTTTTGGCTGTGAGGACAAACGTTTGGGTCCAGCTGTTTTTAGTCTGTGTTTGAAATGGGATGGAGAAGGGAGGGACACATTATTTAGAAGAGAAAATTCCAAAATAAAATAATCTTTAAAAATGCATGACTGTTTTGCCTTAGCTACTGAGACCATGACAAAAATTCACTTCCTGTTCATGATCCCCAAGGTACTTCAGATTTCTAGGAGCAGCTAGACTACCTACACTTCCAGAAAAGAATCTGCATTCTGTTAACCCCTCATTGTTTCTGCTCACTTCCAAATCTTTACAGAACTTCATTTTGCAACACATTTACCACATGCAATGGAACTGGATTTCAATGGAAGGCAGTAATGTACTTCTGTCTTTGTCCCTTTCAGAATGGCTTTACCCCTCTTCATATTGCCTGCAAGAAGAATCGGATTAAAGTCATGGAACTCCTTCTGAAACACGGTGCATCCATCCAAGCCGTAACCGAGGTGAGGGGAGTGGGATTTCTAGGGTTCCCTGGGTCATGAGGGGATGGTCTTCACAGCTGGAGTCCCAGAGCCATTCTCAACAGCTAGTTTTGCTGTGTATATGGTTGCCACTACTTTCTGAAGCCTTCACCCAAGGGGCTGCAAGGTCAGAGGGAAGCAGACAGGTATGAGGGGGAATGAGTATAAACACATCATTCAGAACACACGCTTTGTGCTCAGGGGTGAGTGGCGCCACCACTGAAAGCATAATTTACTTGAAATTCCGTAATGCGGTGCTTCTCAGATGGGGGCGATTTTGTCCCCCAGGAGGCATGTGAAAATGTCTGGAGGTATTTTTAGTTCTGACAAGTGGATAGTGCTCCTGGTGTCTAGTGGCTAGAGGCCAGATGCTACTAAATATTTCACAACGTTCAGGCCAGCCTTCTACAACAAAGATTATCTGGCTCAAAATGTCAGATGTGCCAAGGTTGAGAAACCTTATATAACACCACCCCTCAGTGTTTGTAAACTGAGCATTACTCTCTCTAAAAACTCAGAATTAAGAAAACACAGAGTTGCTGAAGTTAGTAAAGGACAACTCTAGGTTTCTCTTGTAAAACTGACACAGAACTCAGAGAAACGTTCCACCAGGATCAGTGCTAAGCACGCCTGGCATCTACCACTCCAGACTCCCCAGCCTGCCCTGCCCCCAGCACTCTGCTCTCCATAGATTCCAGCCACAGCATTTTCTGGGACTGGATACCCTTTCATTCCCCTCCTATCTCTGTACCCTCCATGTGTCACCCCCGTTTGCTATCTTGGCTAATCCTGTACACTCTTCAGGACGAATCTGGAGCCACTCACTAGGAAGTCCTTGGCCTCGTCTAGGAGGTCCTCCTCGAAGCACCTCTTCCTGTGCCTGTTTCCGTTAAAGCACTTATCTGGATGCTTCACTTATGACCTAGCCACTCCCCCTCCCCAGAAAGTGCAGGCTCCATCAAGGCAGGCCTGAGTCTGATGGGTCTATAGATGCCTGCAACATGGTATAGGCCATTCAGTAAAGGTCTGCTGAATGCATCAATAAAGACTGTAGCATTTGAAGCAGATACAAAATTTGAGATCTAGCCTAGTTTCTTATCTTCAAATATCTGCCTTGATTTGTAACACTTACAAATTTAACGTTATTAAATGGTTGAAAATATTAATACTGATTTGCTCTTTTGTCACTCCCATGTCTTTATGGTAGGGACCTGTTATTTTAAAAGCTTATTCTCAGTATATGGCAACCATTTTTAAAGATCAGAATGGGCTCCGAAATAAAATATTTTTGACTGGTGTTTGATTAAATATCCAGAGATGTCAGCAACTGGAAAGGATCCTCTGCCAGCCCTGTACTCCTCAGAGCTTTAAAAGGCAAGGCAGACCAAGATGAGAACATGCCTTGTACATGTTCTAAGGACTCCCCCTACTGATGGAAAAAGGTGTCAAATTTTTAACACAGTTCTCATTTTCCTCAGTCCCCATTATTTGAAGCCTGGCCAACCAGAAGTCTTTCTCTTCTGCCTTTTACTTCACTTTTATTAGACAGAATTTCTTTCACATATTTTTTTGACATTTCTCAAATTCCTGTTGAGACTGGATCTCCTTCTCATTCTCTTTTTAAAATACATTAGCTATTTCTAGCCATATTAAGCATTTTTACCAAGTTATGGTGTTCATGCTGTACGTGGAATTAAATTCTAAAAAATTCAAAATGGCATCATTTCATATAAGAAGCATAAGGGTGTGTGTTTGTGTGTAGGATTTGGGACAAACAAAATTTAAAGTCTTGTCTAGTAATCATTGTATTATTTGCTTTAATTATATCACCTTAATTTGTAATATTCATAAAGTTAAAATTAAGTGATTAAAACAATTAATGTGATCTGCTCATTTATTAGAGGGTTGGCCTTGTGTTAAGTACCATGCTCTTTTGTGTACAATGGAATCAGTTGACTCTAAGTTCGTCGGAATCATTTTTAAAGGCCAAAATAGGATCTGAAATGAAAGTCAGCTTTTTTTTTTTTTTAACATTTATTTATTTGTGAGACAGAGAGAGACAGAGCATGAACAGGGGAGGGTCAGAGAGAGAGGGAGACACAGAATCGGAAATAGGCTTCAGGCTCTGAGCTGTCAGCACAGAGCCCGACGCAGGGCTCGAACTCACGGACCGTGAGATCATGACCTGAGCCAAAGTCAGACGCTTAACTGACTGAGCCACCCAGGCGCCCTAGAAAGTCAGCTTTGTAATAGTATGTATGTAATCATACATGCACCTATTCCCCCCCCACACACACACATACACATAGTTATATGGATAAGAAAGGTTTAGTAGCAAAGGGGGAAAAACTTCAGGTCATTTCTCTCTAATTTTTTTTTTTCATAGCTCTTTATAGAATGTTTGAAATCATTCTTTAGCAGATATGACATAGGTCCTTCATAATCACTGAACTTGCTTTAAGGAAATGATTATTATGTATTAAGACATTTATCTTATAGAATCTGACATAGTGGTCAATGTCCTGACGTCTTCTGATCTGATCACTTGAGTGGTTATGTTAAGATGAGTGTGGGATGGATGAATGAATGGGTGGGTGCATGGAGGGCAGACAGGGAGGCAGGCAGACAAAACCTTTTAATAATAAGCTCACAAACCACTATTTCCCTCTTCTCTTCCTAGTCGGGCCTTACCCCAATCCATGTTGCTGCCTTCATGGGGCATGTAAATATCGTATCACAACTAATGCATCATGGAGCCTCACCAAACACGACCAATGTGGTAAGTATCCTTTTAACAAAGAATGTCCAATTATGAGTATTTAAGAAACTGGTAAAAATTGCTCTTATTTACTTATTTTTTATTGTAATTAAATTCATTACTATTTAATGTGACTACTTAGAAGGACAAAATTTGAGAATACTTGTGGTTTCCTTTACTTCGAAGGCAAGATCCATTCAATCGCCAGCTGGCCACAAATTGTTAGGACTTACAGGTTGTGTGCCTTAAATTTGCAGATATGTTACTACCAGATGTTATGCTTTAAAAAATAGCTTTTGTGGAGGGGAAGAATTTACAATAGAAGCGTTTAAAGAAGTGTTTCATGTTGAGGAGGCACTTCAAATGATCATTATTGTAATTTCAAGTAAATCCAAAGTAATTCTTCTCTTTAGTGAGCTTGACCATGTTATAGCAAACCCATGGTTATAACAAACCCATGTTCATAGATTGTCGGATGGTATTGTTGTCCCATATTAATCATTGCTCATTTCAGAGTAAATATCACTCTCTAAGTGACTTGTCACTCTAGATCTACATGTGGCATTTGACATTGTTTTATAGGATTTTAAGTTTGTCTTCATAATAATATTAGCATACCAGACCATAAGCATAACAACACTACTTGGACTCATGAGCACCAAAGCAGTAAAAATCAAATAAACCACTTGCTGGCACAGAAAGGGCAAGCCATAAGGTCCTGCACACTCACCCTGACGGTGAGCCTCCAGGAAGGCTCTGTCTTCTAACAGCCCAAATGAACACATCCACAAGATAGGAACAGACCAGCTTCTGAGCAGAAATATCATCTTTCCTGTTCCTAATGCCAGAGAGAGAGAGAGAATGTTTCCCTTCATAAAGAGAACCCTGGATGATCTGGTAAACTATATCTCCAATGCCTTTCTAGTAAGCATAGTAACAAGTTACATGTGAAATATGTCCTTGTGTATCCTTCCATGGAGGTGGATGTCCTGTAAAGCAATGCTCAATTTATAAAAGGAATTTTTAGGTGGATATCACTTGTGTGGGAGAATATATTTGCTCTTTATGACCTTTTGTTTCTTTTTGTCTATCCATGTTTTCTATATTGTTTACATTTTTTTATGAAATAAATGAATAGATAATCTGAATTAAACTCTCTCTGGTGACAATGAGGGAAGTGGTCAGGGTGGAGGAGCCCAGTGGCCAAGAAAATGGCCCCATGGGATAATGTCCAAAGACCAGAATACTGGTCTGCTGAGCTAAATCACAGAATGCAAACCAACAGCCAACAGCAAAGTCTGGCCCTCAGGTGTGTCTATATTGCCCTGGCAACATAGGATTTCTGTTTTGTTCTGTTTGCAATTCTGATTTTGTGGTCAAGGTTTAAGAAGTATATACAAACAGCCAAACTGCCAGCTTTTGAAAAATAGGAAGGTGTGGCATGATATGGCTGGCATCTGGCACAACTACTGAAGTGGTCTGCAGATGCCAAGGAGCAGCAGCCTCCCTTGGGCAAGGCGTCGGGCTGTCTAGTTGAGCGCTCCCCTCCTGCCCCACTCACTCATCTCCCCTCTTGCTTGGCTCCTGGGAGTATTCACCTTTCAAGCTGGGAGGAGGCCACACTGAGCAGCACTTCTGACACTGTTGGAGACCAGGCTCCCCAAGGGTTACTCCAATCCCTTCCATCAGGAATCAGGTTGCTGTGAAATTCTTGTGTATTTCATTTCCTATCTTTCCTCATTTTCAATAAGGAAGTGCTTGGGACTATTTTTTACTTAAAAAAGAAAAACACCCTACATCATTAGCATTATGCAAATAAAATATGCCACCCTTCTTCAGAGCTTCCATTAATTACCTTTGGCTCATGTTCCCCAGAGAGGAGAAACAGCGCTGCACATGGCAGCTCGATCTGGCCAAGCTGAAGTCGTGAGGTATCTGGTGCAAGACGGCGCTCAGGTAGAAGCTAAAGCCAAGGTATGTGTGACACAGGAAAGCCTTTGCTCTTGAGGAAAAAAATTACCCTTGATTTTACTAAAACCTTGGAACACCTGCATGCTCTCTTTCAGGGATACTCTTATAAAGTCATGACAAAAGTATCTATCCAAGTGATATTGTAAAAAAAAAAAAAAAAAAAAAAAAAAAAAAAAAAAAAAAAAAAAAAAAAATCCTTCCCTACACATTTGTCCATTCAATTATTTTACAAAATTAAATAGAACAAGAACTTTGCATCCTTGGCACATTGCTAGCCTCTAACAGATTTTGGAATCAAACCTAGACTTGATCCAGAATTCTTCACACTCCATAGAGAAGGGCTCATGTGGAAAGCTTCTAGAACAGGCATAATTTGGAAGCATAATTGAACTCTTTTGGTTGACTTATATGTCACCTGCCACAGCCATAAAAGGAAAAAGGAAGGTTTTACCTTTTCTTCACAACTTGAGATGTTATAAACCCTCAGACTCAAATTGGAGTGGCTTTAGGGATTTGCCTTTGCATAGAAGAATGTCTGGATTGAGACTGAATGCTTCGCTTTCCTGGTTTAGCTCCCAGAAGAAACCCACTTTTCTTTCACTATTGAGATAGGTAGTTGGTCTGGCTATCAAAATGGCAGTTCAGGTCAGGGATCGTAAGTAAATATGTAAATGCCTTAATCATTTAATTTAACCTTCAGAATATAAATGGTCTGCAGTTTCTAGTTTCAGGTTAAGTAGTGAGAAAACTGAGACATATATGAAGCAATTTGTATACAAAATATGTCTAGACTTTTATAACATCCCCCCAAAATATTTAGTTGTCTCACCCATATCTAATTTGACCACAATTGTTTTTTATCAACTTCTGTCAAAGCTTTCCAAAGCTTTTAAATTAGTCTTCTTAGGGGAAAATTAATCTTTCCCTTTCAGATTCATATTTTACCTGCTAACATATTGTGCGATTGTTTAATTAAAGTAATTAGTGCAAATATAGCACAAAGTAGCAATGTAACTAGTACAAAATAGCAGTGTGGGAACAAACACAACTAGATCATTGTAAGCATAAGATCTGCAGATGAGCCTAAAGGTTATAACAGCAGCAGACACAAGCTTTGGGTGTCCAATGTACTGTGGTGCCAGTTGGTGGATTTTACAGAGGATCTGGAGACAGAGGTCAGCAAACTTTTTCTGTAAAGAGCCTGTTAGTATATATTGTAGGCTTTAACAGATGCACCATCTCTGTCACAGCTGCTCGACTCTGACATTCTGGAACAGAAGCAGTGATAGGCAATCCTACATAAGCAAATGGGCGTGTCCATGTTCCAATAAAACTTGGTTTACAAACACAAGTGGCAACTGGATTTGGCCCCTGGATTGTAGTTTTCATACCCCTGATCTAGAGATAGTGGTTCAGTCTGCTTAATCAGTAAAGTAGAATAAATAAGAAAAGCTGTACTCTACCATGGATTACAAGAAACCTCACATTTTCTGAGTGTTGTTAGTGACATATCAAGTATTGTATCTAGGAAAAGGTTTCACTCACAGCTGAAATTGAGCATAGAATTTATAGTTATTGTTTCATTAAAGAGGCAGTATGTATTGTGATTAAGAACCTTTCTTTCTCAGCCAGAATGCCTGGGTTTGAACCTTTGTCCTCCATTTACTAGCTATATAGTGTTTGAGCGAGTTAATGAATATCTATCTCTGTGGAACATTTATTTTTCTAGTTTCTTCAAATAGAAAATGGAAATACTAACAGTTACAAGCGGTAAGATTGTCGTGATGATTAATGAATTAATGTAGGTGGCGTACTTAGAACAGAGCTTGGGACATGTAGGTGCTCAGCCCATGTTTAGTGGTGGTCGTGGCAGTAGCAGAATTACAGGAAATTTTTCTGTGACAATTATCTTTTTTCTGTTTTCAGTATTCTTCTTCCTGTGGCTCCACCAATTCCTCTTATACTTCTTACATAGACCCTCTTGCTTTGACCTTGACTCTCATCCTCCTTAGCTTTTCAGAGCAGTCTCCTGTGCTCCAACCTCTTCTCTCTAGCTTCCCTATTTAAAGTACTTACCTGAATTTTTTCACACTCAAATAGAGGATTTCTCATTGGATGACCACCACAAGGCATCTTTGGGCAAACTAGGAAAAGATGCCTCTCCCATTTGGGGATAAGATCCTCAAGGTGCAAGATATAGTGCCTCATGCCTGGGAGTGAATTGTAATAAGGGGCCTTTCCTAGGCAGATACAGCTCATGCCAGGATGTACACCTTGACAAGCAGAGGGTTGGCTGCCTTTCAGCCTTCTTGGCTAGGAGTCTTTTTGCAGTTATACCTGGACAACCTTATACCCGGCCTCTGTGCTTTGGACTATGACAAGGTGGCGCCAATAAAATAATTCATTCCATATGAGGGCACAATAACTGGTGAGGTATAATACCTTTCCCAGTTTTAGTAGGATAAATTCCCTTACCTCCCCAAAAAAGGAATCATTAGGGGATAAAATTTTAATAAAATATGGCAGGTGGTAGTGAGGATAATTTATAGATAGAACTGCCTTTCACACTTTTCATACTAATAGGTTACTCAAAGGGTATTTAACGTGCTTAGATCCACCATCTCCCCCTTACTAAATGTTAAAGAAAAAGATAAATGGGATTTTTTTAGCATTGAGGCAAAGAATCTACGGTAGCCTCTGATACCAAGCAAAGTTTGCTGAATGTTTCACAACGTCACCATTGTGTTCTCAGCTAATCAGCCTTGTATTTCAACCTTGTCATTTAGGATGACCAAACCCCACTCCACATTTCTGCCCGATTGGGGAAGGCAGATATAGTACAACAGCTGTTGCAGCAAGGAGCATCTCCAAATGCAGCCACAACTTCTGGGTATACCCCACTCCACCTTTCGGCCCGTGAGGGGCATGAGGACGTAGCTGCATTCCTTTTGGATCATGGCGCATCTTTATCTATAACAACAAAGGTATGAAAGTGAATCTTGGAATCCTGTTGTGTCCCCCCAGATCCATCCTCCTTACAATTCCCAGCATGGTAATAGGTACACGAGTGGTACAACAGCATCTATCCTTGGGATCCCAGGATAGCCCTTAACATGGTCAGCAAAACCATGGAGGGGCACCTTGTGGCTCAGTCGGTTGAGCGTCCACCTTCAGCTCAGTTCATGATCTCGTGGTCCATGGGTTCGAGCCCCACATCAGGCTCTGTGCTGACAGCTCGGGGCCTGGAGCCTGCTTCTGATTCTGTCTCCCTCTCTTTGCTCCTCCCCTACTCACATTCTGCATCTCTCTCTCTCTCTCTCTCTCTCTCTCTCTCTCTCTGTCAAAAATAAATAAACATTAAAAAAATAAGGGGTACCTGGGTGGCTCAGTCGGTTGAGCGTCCGACTTTGGCTCAGGTCATGATCTCACAGTCTGTGGGTTTGAGCCCTGCGTTGGGCTCTGTGCTGACAGCTCAGAGTCTGGAGCCTGCTTCGGATTCTGTATCTCCCTGTCTCTCTGCCCCTCCCCAGGTCATGCTGTGTCTCTTTCTCTCTCTGTCAAAAATAAATAAACATTAAAAAAAATTTTTTTTAAATAAATTTAAACAAAGCCATGGAGTGAGGCAGGGTAGTTTGGGGTATGTTTGTTTGTCTTATGTTTCTCAGTGCATTATCTTCCAAAGAACCATCAATGATATCTAGATTACAATGTTTCTTGCACATTATTTGATAGATTTAAATGGTGATTTAAAAACACAGCCATAGATCTCTCCTGCTAAGGCCAGGTATACAAACCACTTTCAAATCAGGAGGTGAATTTTTCTTGGATTATTTTTGTTTGGTGTTCTTTTGTTGCTGTTGTCTTGTATGATTAATGGTTTAATTTTTAAAATCTCAACTCTGATGCCTTAGAACAATAATCTACCACTCAGTTACTTTGTGGGTACAGACTGCAAATTTAGAGCTCATTTTTTGGTGATACTACGTAAACCTAACAAGTGTGATAGAAAGATGAATTGGCCTATGGCATGTCTTAGAAAACTAGAAATCAGTGCTTCACTCCCTTATTTGGATGCAGAGAAGTGTGATCAATGCACAAGATAATTACAATAATTAGAAATACTTGGAAAACTACCCGAATAAATGATGACTACCTCCAACTTTTGCCCCCTGTGACTCTTCAGGCTCTTAAGTAGAGCTGAGTTGCAAAGTTCCTGGATTTCATTTAATATGTAAAACAGATAATGAGTGATGAGGTTTTGAGTACACTTGCCCTTCCACCATGCCAGCTGCCCATTGGCTCTAGTTGGCTTTAGTCTCATGAGGTCAAATGTGTTGATGACCCTCCAGTTGCTGACTCATGCTTGGGAACCTCCATAACTGTGCATAGTGACTGACTGGTGGATACCCATGTCCTTGTAGGAGCAGGTAGCAAGGGAGAGCAACTACTCAACTCTCAGTACCCAGCTCTTGCAAACTTACTGGGATAGAACCATGTGTTATTATTCAGTTCACCTTTTGTGGTTAAGATGCATGACTCTCTGACTCCTACCCCTGAGGCCTGGAGCATACATAAAGATATGTGTATACATGCAGAAATAGGAGAAGAGGAAGAAAAAGGCTCCAGTCTAGTCATGTGGGAATATGGGAGGTCCAGACTTGTCCTGGATTTTCCCAAGCCTTCCAAATCCAAATTGGGACCCAGTAACATATTCTTCCCAAAATGTGAAATCCCAAAATAGCTCTAGAATAAGTCCCAGATCTAGCTCTCCACCTTCATCCTGGTCAGATGCCTGATTAGTCCCAGAATTAGTGGCATGTTGTGACTCAGTCAACAGAGAGAGAAAGATTAAATACTGCTCATCCTTGTTGATAAGGAGATTCTAGCTGTTGTCTTCCAGTGTTGGTCTTTAAATACAGGCTTAACTGTGCTTCATCGTGAGAATAATTCATTGGTTCCAAGAAAGCGATACCTTTGTTTCGTTTCTCTTGGTCATTATTTTTATGTTTCTGTTTCCAGAAAGGATTTACTCCCCTCCATGTGGCCGCAAAATATGGGAAGCTGGAAGTAGCCAATCTCCTGCTACAGAAAAGTGCATCTCCAGATGCTGCTGGGAAGGTATGAGGCTGACCACCTTGTAGCAGGCCCCTTCCATGGTAGCAAAACAAGCACTTGCTACTTCACCACCAGCCACCTAAATTATGACTAGTCCCGAGTTAAGTCTCATAGGATGAAGATCACTTTGGAAACAGGAGGTGAACGCTGGGGTCCAAGCATTGTGGAAAGCGGAATGTAACTTACACTCTGTGTTGAACCCACACTAATCCCATCTCCTAAATCTAGGCCTCTGATGTTAAGACGCTTTTGACACTGGTTGTTGTTTCTGCACGTGTTTTCAGAGCGGGCTAACTCCACTGCACGTAGCTGCACATTACGATAATCAGAAAGTGGCCCTCCTGCTTTTGGACCAAGGAGCCTCACCTCACGCAGCTGCAAAGGTACCTGTGATTGGACAGCCCGAGGAGGCCTGTGGGCAGTGTCTGTTGGTCTCTGTATGTGCATCCACTTTGCTGCACATGTAGCACCCTGCACCTTAGATATCACTTAAAAGACACAGAAATATAAGCTCCTCAGGGAATCTGTGCCTTCAGATCTTTGGTCACCTAATGTGGTAGATGCTCAATAAATATTCACGTGCCAATTGATTTTCCTTAAAAATCCGGGACATCCTGGAGCCTGTGGAGGAAATAAAGTTGAAGTATTCTTCAGCCAGATTAAAAACATCAGCATAGCCTAAGGGAGTAAGAAAGTCTGATTTTTCAAGGTTATAAAATATGTGTGATATTTTCCTGGCCATAAAACATTGCCTTCGAGTTATTTATTTCTGTTTAATAACATGGGTTGGGAAATTTTGTTTATGAGTTTTTATGATTGTTAAGAGGAATCTTTATTCCTATTATTAGGGTGTTTGGGGCCAGTAGACAACCTACATTTTTCAGAAAAGAGATACATAGAGTATATGGCTTCCTGATTCCCTGATATTCTGATTTGAGAGGCAAATCATAAAGAAAAGTGTATTTGAAGATAGGTTAGTAGAGTGCTGTCAGTTTAGTAAGCTCTCTCTTGTGGAACAGGTGGCTGTGATCTGAGAAAAGTGGAAAGATACAAACCACAACTTAATGCTGTCTAGTTCTTTCACTAAATACTATTGGTTGGAAAAACTTTTAGCATTTTTAAGCTTTATACATCTTTTTTTTTTTATTCTGCCATTGTGGGACAGCTACAGTGCTCTGCTTTAAACTTAGTGTTTACATTGAATCTGTTGTACACACAGGTCAATCAATGAATGGGCTGTTCTAGATCACTTTGTGGACTTTAAGAGAGAAAGTTTTCAGGTACCTTCTCTTTTTGAAGACTAGGTTATCTTTGACACCTATTTCTCCTCAGGACCTCTTTTCCTATATGTCTTAATTATCTCCTGCCCCAGCCTCTCCAGAATGTACCCAGTGAAATCTATACTTCAGAACCAAACCTCTAAATTTGCTTTTCATCTAAATGTGGCTTTCCCTCCATAGTTTCTGATTCTGACAAACATTTTTTCTATCATAAAACCATGCCTTGACATTTGATAAAGCTTTATCTTTAAAACAAAAATGAATAGTAGCATTATTCACAGTAGCCAAAAGGTGGAAGCAACCCAGTATTTATTGAAGAATGAACAGATAACTAAAATGTGGTGTATACATACAATGGAGGAAGTAGGAAGGAAATTCTGGCACATGCTACAACATTAATCAGCCTCAAAGACACCATGCTAAGTGAAATAAACCAATCACACAAAAGGACAAATATTGTATGAGTTCAGTCATAGAGAGATAGAAAGTAGAATGCTGGTTGCCAGGGGCTAAAGGGAGGAAGGACTGGGGAATTGGTGTGTAATGGATGGAGTTTCAGTTTGAAGATGGATGGTGGTAATGGTTCCAGAACAATGTGAAATGTAGTTAACGCCATTGACTATATTTTAAAAATGGTTTGGTTTTACATAATGTATATTTACCACAATTTAAAAAATGAAAAAAATTACATTAAAACTTAATGACTATCTATTTCATTTCAGTATATTTTAATATCCTTTTGGGCCTGGGCCACTTTTATTATATTATAATAACTCCAGGTTCTTGGTAGGAAAATAATTAATAAGGAAATTATTCATTCCTCACAGAAGAGTAAGATAATAGGAAAATTGTTCATTCCTCACATGAGAGTAAGAATTTTGACACAACTAGTACCAAGCTGTTTAGAATTGACAAGAGTCATAAAGTAGTTACGTGAAGCAAAATGAGTGCAAGCCACCCTTCCGTCCATCCATTCCTTCTTTCAATCCATAAATAACCTTTAAATAGGTCTGTAGTAGGTATATTTGCAGTTGATTTCCAGCTTCATATTTGTCAAACAAGACTTCATGTTTCCATGTCTGTAAAACATCCTTCACAACAAAGAGTTGAAAAGAGTTCTAACAGCACTTAGCCTTTGGAGTAGCTTTTATAGCCACTCCAACACTGGCTTTGCTAAGGAGACGTTACTTCTTGCTGCCACAGCACAATTGCCTCCATAAGAGCTTCAGTAATACCATCGCTGCTACATGGCTGATCATTCCCACTGTCTGAGGCACTGATCCTGGTCAGGAACTTTTTCTAGACTTTGATCCCAAGCAAAGTCTGTTCCTTCAGTTAAGGATGGGCTTTATCTGCTAGGCAAGAAACCTAGCTACTATTGTTTCAACTGATGAGGCTCTATTTTTTCTCATTTATAAACAGTCTGGAGGTAGGCAGTTGTTGATGTTGGTCCAGTGTTTCCAGAACATTAAGAAAAGCTCCCTGTGATTTTTTTTTCTTCCTTTCCTTTCAGAGACTGTTTTTGCCCAGGCTGCCCGTTCCTCTTTTCAAGCAGGAAAGAAAGACAATAGGGCATTCCCAGAAACTCCACCCAGCCATTTCTCCTTACATGTCATTGGCCACTTCTTTCTGCAAGGGAAGCTAGGAAGTGTAGTTTTTCAGCTGGACACAATGCCAAGGCTCTTTTATTAAAGAAGGAGGGAGAAGGGATAAAGAGTAGGCAAATACTCCCTGGAGTAAAGGAAGGTTTAGCATTTCCAAATTCTGGCTGTGGTGAAAAATGAGGGACAAAGGCTCAAAAAGGCACAATTTGAACATATGACTATAACAGCAGTTGACTTCAGTGTGAACTCTTTCTCAGTTCACATGCTGGGTTCTTAGGGTAGGTGATGCTCTCTTGCCTTTTCTTCTGTTTCATAGAATTGCCAACATATTTTCTTACTCATACATGCCCTAGGAACCTGATGCGATTTTGTAATGGGGGAGGAGGGAAGGTGCCGAAAAAGTAGATGGGCTTCTGTGATCCATTTTCACCAGATCTATTTCCCGAGGCAGGACTCTATGCTAGAAGCGGTATTGGCATGAAATCAGGCATAACCTGGACACTCATCGTGGAAAACAGATAGTGAGTCTTAACTTATTATCAGATTTCTCTTCCATAAAATGTACAATATATCTACTGGTATGGAACAGTAGAGATTCTTGGAAAAAAATATAAGGTATGATATACATCTATTACTTTTGTTAACTTAAAATTGCATTTCCTTTTGTTTTCATCTTGAATTACAAAAGCACACACTGCAAGCATTTTGTTCTCCACATCAAGAGGAAAAAAATATTTAAGATTATTCTGTAGCCGAATCTGTCACTATTTTATTTCTCTTCTGATAAATGCATCTTTCCCTTTAGTGTGATAGGTGAGAATCATTTTACTTTCGAGAAATTAAGAAGCATTTAGAAAGATTAGAGAACTTCTGATAGGTCTCAAGATGAACCTTTTTGTTTATTATTTGAAATATTTTTAAGTCTTTCTGAGATGAACTTCCATTCTAAAATAAATGCCATGAATTGTTTTTCCCTTGCTTTATTCTTTCCTTTGTAGCTCAGGTAAGGAGCTCAGAGTAAAGCCCTCAGTAATCATGAGTAACTTGTCTAAAGTCAGCATGCATTTCAGAGATGCCAGAGTTTCTCTTTTTAGTGTTCTTTAGGACCTAGGATTTTTGGGTGGAATAAGAAATAATCCAGAGGATTGTCACCTGTTAAAGGACACTGACCTGCCTTCGGTGGTTGACAAGTAACTAACGCGAAGGTTATGTCCGTAGCAAAAGCAAAAAGAAATAAGATGCATGACAAGAAGCTAAACTCAGGCTATGTTGCTGTTACCACTCTGACTAGCCAGTGCTAGACATATTTGACTAATCAGATGACCTATTTTAGCACTGATTTTGTGAATTTTGGCTTTTATGCAGGGGTGGGGATGGTAACGAAACAGACCACCCCCTCCTGTCATTCGCTGTAAAGTTGGGCTCAGTCCAAAGCTCTACATTTGGCTCTGAAGGCAATCCCTTTAGGGTGTGTCTGTACAGAGGGACAAATGTTTCCCAGGTCAGCTAGGGTTTCCAGATGGCAAAAGGTCAAAACTAAAAATAAGGATATAAAATCTTCTACCCTGGCCCATCCCGTTTGGCAGGGGCTGGTTTCAGAAGAGTCTGGAAGCAGCATTTCCACTTGCTTAAATCCTCTACAATTGATTACAGAAAGGGTGTTTCTCAAGTGAGAAACAGTATCCTACTAGGACATGCTAATGACTTAAAATATGAGGGTAATTGCAGTAGGCTGGCCGGATCAGTGGTGCGGCAGCCCCCACTGTCCTCTGTGTTGTTTCCTACCCATCCATATGGCCTGGAAAGATTGTGACTGATAGTTGTCTAGCTTTGGATCATTTTGCCAAATGTGAATCCATGAATTCCATTTTTTTTCCTCTAAATCTTCTTTTCTATAAAAAATCATTCTCATTTTTCATTGGCATATCTTATATAGTTGGATTCATGCCCAAGTGAAAATATAATCTTGCATTTCTCTTAAATGACAATAAGGCTGGACAAGGTCCCCTAGTGCAGGGGACCTTTCTTTCTCAGGGCGGAAGACTATGAACAACCCTGAAGCACAGTTAATTGCCAGTTTGCCAGAGGAATTTAAGTTGCTTGAACCTCTGGTCATCAGAGGTCAGTCAAGACAAGGATCCCAGAATGTCCTGAAAGTGGTAGTAAGCTTGACTCAAATTCTGAGGATTCACCAGTCACTGTGAGGCACTAGTAGAGATACAAAGACAAATACGACACAATACCTGCCCTCAACAAATTTGTATTTTAGTAGGAGGAAACAGGTATGCAAAGGAAAAAGTGCCATTATCTCCAGGACTTTGATTGGAGTCAGTTAGGTTGGGGGTGGGTATAGGTGGGGAAGGAGGAAATAAAACCCTTCATGAGAGTATAACCCTTGAGCTGAATCTTCAACTGATAGATGCTGACCCCAAAGACATAGTGGAGAAGAACATTCTTGATAGAATGAGGCAAAATAGAAACATGAGCTGTATCTTATGTGGGAAACCAGTTCAGCTGAAGCATAACGTAGAAACTAGAGTTTCATAGAAGAGGCAATCAAAGGGGCTGTGAGGGTAGATTATAGCATCTTGACTACCATGAACAGTAAATTTTTCAACTTGTTAGCAACAAGTGACTATTAAAGATATTTTAAAGGTAGAGTAATGGCTCTGAATAGCTATTATTGAATGAAAAGTGGAATAATGGCTCTGAACATGTCCATGGTACCACATTGTTTGTTGTTTCCTAGTTGTGTTTCTTCACATTGGCAATTTAAATAAAGCAAGTAATTATTGAGCACCTACTAACATTAACTGCCTGCAAGAGAGGACCCTATATTCCTTTTGCAAAACTGGTGGTACTCTGCATTAAACTGTCTGTAGTATGTTTTCCCAATTTAGGGATGCGGGAGACATTAGGGCAGTACATTAATGGCACAGCTTGATTTATCAGTTTGCTTATGTGATTATGAATTTTTAAACCGTCGAAGAAAATCACTAGAAAGGGAAGCATACTATTTGAAAGTGCACTGCACACATTTTTATCTTGTTACTGGGCATGTGACCAAGTGATTCGTGTTGACAGAATGGTTATACGCCACTGCACATCGCTGCCAAAAAGAACCAGATGGACATAGCGACAACTCTGCTGGAATATGGTGCTGATGCAAATGCAGTTACCCGGCAAGGAATTGCTTCTGTCCACCTTGCAGCTCAGGAAGGACATGTGGACATGGTGTCCCTGCTCCTCAGCAGAAATGCTAATGTGAACCTGAGCAATAAGGTAACCTTTCTTTTTCTCTGCAAAGCGTATAACGAACCCTTACCTCTCAGAGAGGTCACTAAGAAGCATGCACTAAGAAGCATGAAGAATCCAGGTCAAATAGAATATATAAAGTGTAACGTTGCACAAAGATGTTTACCAAAATATTGTTTATTATAGTAAAGACCTTGAGAAAAAATGTTTAAACAGTAAGAGAATGGTAAATCAATACTTGTCAAGTCATACAATTGAATAACATATAGTTATAAAAATGAAGTCCACAAAGTTTTTCTTAATAATATGAAGTTTTGGTATAATGCTAATTCAAAGTACCACATTGCCTTGCCAGAACTTAGCAAAATAGTAAGTTGTAAATTGTAGCCTGTTGATTTTGTCTGCAAATATTCGGGGGGTACCTACTCATTGCCTCTCCCAGTTTTAAGTCCTACTTAAAAAAATAAATATTAGAAAGAGTGCTGCCTTCATGGAGTCCATTTTAATAACAGAAGTTTAGAGTAGCTATTTTATTCAATAGGTTGGAAAGGTTGTTAGTCTTTCTATGTAAATTGGCAGTTTCAAGGAACGTGTGAAGTCTCTGTTCCCTAGTTTTTTCAAATTCCTGTCCTCATATTTGGCAGCCCCATTATTAGTGAAGAATTTTATGAAGCAAAGTCTAGCCCACAATTGGCCAGAGACATGTTAATGAAGTTAGACCTCTCATTGCATGTATCAGAGAATTTGGGTTTGCTAAACTATTTATTAATACCTTAAGTCTGAGATCTGCTCAAAGCACAGAACAGATGTTTCTAAGTCTTCCCTTCATATAACACAAAAGCCTGCTACAGTGCTCCCAAGTTCTTGACAATCCAAACTCCCTGGCTTTTTCTCTACCAGTTGGTGATGGCATGGCCATAGCTCAGATTTTGGAGTGGAGTTTCAAGACAGCAATAGTTTTATGGGGACAAATGACAAGTAATTTTATTTGTTTTTCATATACGTGGACTGTATTTTGGAATCATGGAGGTTTTGAATCCCCTGGGTGTGAATCCTAAGCCTGACTCTTCCTTGATGTGTGACTTGATTGAACAAGCTATATGACCTGATGAGCCTCAATTTTGCCCTCTAGTAAATGAAGACAACAATATTTACTTCACAGAAATGTCATAAAGATTAACTGAGGTAACATTCAGCACCTTCTCCTTAAGGAAGAAAATAAGAGTTGTCTTAATTGTGGACTTCTTATAATTTAGGGAAAATGTTATTCTGCACTAACCTGAATTCCCGAGGTTGTAATTTAACAAATTCTATAGACCAAAAGACATACATAAGAGAACAGGGAAATATTTTTTATTTCAGTTTTAATATCTTGAAAATATTTTGTGATTATTATAGAACAAAATATTTTTCATACTTTTCTGGTGTAACAATTTGATTTTCTCTTATCTTTTATTTATTTCATTTATTTATTTTTTATATATGAAATTTATTGTCAAATTGGTTTCCATACAACACCCAGTGCTAATCCCAAAAGGTGCCCTCCTCAATACCCATCACCCACCCTCTCCTCCCTCCCACCCCCCATCAACCCTCAGTTTGTTCTCAGTTTTTAACAGTCTCTTATGCTTTGGCTCTCTCCCACTCTAACCT